CACTGTTAGTGCATGTCCATTTATATAACTCTTTACTCAGGCATGAAGTAAGAAGTACACCGTCGCTCTGACATGCCTTGCGCTTGCACTAAATCGTTTCCGCTATCATTTTCTAGCCTGAGACTTGCCTTTTCGCAATGGGCATTTCTCGGGTGTTTGTCATGTCAAACATTTATTTGTCTGGGTTGGGAGACACTTGGGAGAAAGGAATTAGGTGCAGGGGACGCAAGACGGGGACAAAAATTTAAGGGAGTTAACCCTCATTCTTCGATAGGCCACACACTCTGCGTCTTTGTAATACGACTCCGAGGGTGTTACTCTTTTCAGGAGTCCGTTGTTGAATTTCTAAGGCTACCTGCTACAACAGACAGTGGCATTTCGATTAATCAGAAAACTATTCTGTGAGTAAAGCATGTGAGATATCGAGGTAATCGGAATGTCTCCTTTGTCATTATCTCTCGCGGCAACATTGAGGCTGCTAAGTTATGCGTAATACATGGACTCGGGTAACATTATGCATAAAGAATGGAGGCTATTTAGCTGTATGTTTTGTAAACTACCTGGGAATATAAAGTTATATGACTTGTTCTGGAATGTATATAGCTGAATACTGTGAAAGAGTTGGAAGAAGCATCGAAAAGGGACACTATTCATCCACTTGGAGGAAATAAATTTGAGGACCATGAAGAATGATGTTCTATTCATAAATGTAATGACTCATATCATGGCGTACTATCAAACACACTGTTTCCCTTTAGCTTCGGTAAGAGTTTTACGGCAATTGGAACACTATAAGGTCATATAAGTGCCGAAGATTAAAGGTGTTACAAGGGAGTAAAAAAAAAAAAAGAAGGAAGAGAGATGAGGAGGATAGATGTTTGATAGGAAAGAAGGAGCAAACCACACCAGACCACCCGCCAACCGCCCACACACTGTTTGGTAATTAGCAGGGTGCTGGAATACTGTATGGCTAATCCTGTTTCGAATGTTTTACTTGGTTAATTTTAACTTGAATTGTTTGAAACATGTTCATACGTGTTCCACTCCAGACTTTTCAAGTGACACAGGCGGATGGGACATTGAAACCCCCATCCCTCAAATAACCACATTATGTTTATCCCCTTCGCTGCTGAGGACTTTCCACCTAGGTTTGTACATTCAAGAGGTATTTAAACAAAGTCATATTATTAGATCCACGTATTTAAGAATGCACAACAGAAAAAGTCGTTTTACATCTTCTATAACTTTCCATATAAACCAGTGCAAGTAAATGTACAAAAATGGCAGAGAACCAGTATTGAAAAACATGCGAATACATACGTCTACACAGCCGTAAAGAGGTTAAGGGGATGTTAATCCCGATCAAACCACATTATTGTCTTGCTTAAAATCCTATAAGTGTACCACACAATCAATCTACATAGTGGTCGACTAGTCTGCAATGAAGTCTCTCTAAACATGTATGATAACGCTGATGAGACGACACGTGTACGTGTGGTCACTGGAGACATCTGCGATAAAGACTCGTCAATCATATCTTCTAAAAGAATAAATAGCAGGGTTCAGTATATTGCAGTGTGGTTAGAAGTTCCTTATTGGGTAACGTGTTACGACAATACTAAATGTTCTTACGGGGATTAAGTTCGAGTCCTGAATGTCCTCCCAATTTAAGAAGACGCGTACTCCCAACCATGAAGGTTGATACAACCGAAGGTTCGAAAATAACTTTCTTGTATCTAGATGGCCTACTGAATCCCCTACAACGATAGGCTATACACTTTTTCCTTTAGAAATATCTAATGCATTAAAAACCTGCTGCCCTTTCTTTTGGCCTGGCAACGACTTTTTAAGCTTGGGCTATACAAATGAAGTTTTCTAAAAAAAATAAGCAGTTCATTGTACAATTATTTCAGTAGACATTTGATGGTAGCAAAGTAACAAGACCCTGGTACATGTGTCAGTCCCAATAAGACAAACAATGATTATCAAATGAGGAAAATAACATTTATAAAATACAAATAATTTTTTTTAAATGACGTCTTTACTTTTTTTTTTATAGTAGAGAGTTTTACGGCGCTCGCAACTGCATAAGGTCAAATGAGCGCCAACGTCTTTACTTTGAACTCAACAATTCTGTCAAAATAATTCGCAGCTAAAGGGTTAAGATTTAAAACCGTCGGACGGGGAAGAATTGTAGAGCTCTCTCGTATCTGTCAAAGCCCTCAATCCTTGACTTCCATGCTGGAGTAGAGCGAGGTGGCTATTCCTCACCGGCTCTCTATTACCCAAACATTTTGTCAGCCCCGCCGTGCAAATATACACTCCGGTTTGGGCTAACACTATGATCCGCGGGTTGAGCGCTGTAAGAACCCATCCTAATGCTAAGGTAAAATAGGCTAAAACACTTAGTGGCGGCCACCCCTCCGTCCCCTGCCACTGTCGCATGGAAATGTAAGCTTGTGTAAACCCGACACAGCTCCCAGTCCACGGGACTTGTGCTGTCCGCGAGAGCTTCTGCGAGGCCACAGGGACAACTGGCTGTTTGTTTCCCGAAGCACTTCTGACTGCTCACAGATTATAAACGTTTCCCAAAAAGTTGTAAAGATCATTTAAGTATTACTTTTACTGTCACCTTTTCATCCCCCGGTGCTGTTAGGCGTCGAGGGGAGATGCAGTTTCCTATGGCAGACAAGCTCTGGTGTGTTTTCAATCGGGATGTTATTATTTTTCAGGGTTCCCGTGACTCTTTCAATCCAAAAGATCAATTGGGAATTTCCTGTAAATGGAGTATCCTCGAAAAGAGAAAGTAAACCTTTGCAAAATCCCTGATATGCAGTAGCATATTTAATTGTGTATAAGCATGGAAAGAGTGCACGGATCTATCTATCTATCTGTCTATCTATCTATCTATCTATCTATCTATCTATCTATCTATCTATCTATCTATCTATAGAAAGCCTTTGTATGTTTGTCGATATTTTGAATAACATTTTTCCAAGTATTACGTCATAATAGTCTAAGTTCTCTCGAAGTACCCTCGCTAACTCTTCCTCTGCAACTAACAACAAATAAATCACCATAAAATCACTTGTTTGTTATTCCTATTTTATCAGAACTATAGTAGGAAAAACATCCGCGTAGACATCCAGAAGCTACAAAAGCCCTGTGGGTCTCTCTGTTTGCCTCCTCTGCGGACTAGGGCCGGTGCTCCTATTGAACGCCTCACGGCCCGGACAGCGATACCTCTGTACAAATGTGACGAGAAACAAAACCCTGGGCCAAGCGAGCTCTTCTCCGGAGATTCATTGTCCCCAGAACTCTAGCAGAGTGCCTGGACACAGATGGCCTGGATTGCCAGGAAGGGGACACTGGCGTCTGTGGTGTAGAAGTCACGCACTTTGCCGTTGCACGCAAGGGACCTGAGTTCGATCTCAAAGAGGAGAGAACTTTTATCGAGTATCTCTTAAAGTCCAGATTGGCCCTGACAGGCAGAGTTGAAACCCAAGTAATGAATAATCTAAATTGTGTCGATGAAGGCGTAAAGGCACCTCCATATTAGTTTTAGAAAGAGGATGCCAGTGGCACGAAGGAATAGGGGTTTTATGCTCAGAAGACTCTGGTTGGGGGCTCTCGTGATCTAGAGGTCAGGGTTTTGCCTCTCATTCAATAGGACCTGGATTCGAAACCAGACAACGACGAGAAATTCTCATTTTCTCTACCTTTGCCTTTGATTTAACGTCTATTTAAAGACTCGTTGTCTGCAAATGAGAAATACATCCACATCACTTCAATCTCTAGCAAATTAAACTCTGTGGAACTCTTAAAATTGCTTAACAAGCAAAGAGCACTAGCAACAAAGGATATTACATTAATTGTATTACGTTACATAACTGCTAACATGGCCCAGACAAATTAATGTTCTCCTTCAACTCCTTTTTTTTAAAAGTGAAAATATTAATCCTTCCAATCCTTCCCTCCACACCTTGTCCAGAAGCTTTACAGTACTAAATGTAGCGCGTGGTACTTTGATTCTTGAGTAACTCCTTGGTTCACAACCTTTCCATCAATCCATGTTTTCTTGTCTGAGGAGATGCGATTGACTCAAACCGTTGAAAAAAGAATAGTGCTCTTTTTGTAGTAGATATTTTACGACGCTCGCAACATAAGAGCACCAGAAGATTAGAGGAGTTTCAAGAGAGTAACAAACATAAAAAGAAGAAGGGGATATAAGGACGATAGATGTTTGAAAGGAAAGAAGAAGCAAATCACACCAGAGCACCCGACAACCAATAGAAAAATACTACTAACTCGCCTTCAACCACTTGTCTGATGTGTCGTTACATGTTCGCCTTCTGCTGAATAATGGTGCAGATGTTAACAAGTGAAAGTTTCTTAATGAGAAAGGATCCCAAGAGACAAAGAAGCAGCAGTTATTCAAGCTTTTAATAAGAAATGAAAGACGTCATAACCTTATTTGATCATTTCCGTGTAACCTGTGGCAGCAGGAGTAAACAAAAATGACCCCCCCCCCCCCCCCAAAAAAAAAAAAAAAAATAACCTGAAAAAGTATATAATATGCATATAATAAAAGGTAAACAAAGGACAGGTATGTCTGTGACGTCAATTGGTGGTAGGCTACATGTACGTGTATTATTTGAACTGAATCCGAATTTAGCTCGGAACACGATCAGAATATTCAATCAAGGGAAACAACCAAATTCTATGTACACTGGTCAGTATTATTGGTATTGGTATTGTCCCTTGTTGACTATTTGCATCATTGAAGTGAAGCAGTCCTTATTCATCATCATCAAGTGCCAGATCTGCGACAGACATCGGCGATCATTGTTTTCCATTCATTCCTTTGCTCGGATGCTCTCAAAAAAAGCTACGTTTCCCTGATCTTTCCCTCTTACCCATTTGTTTAGGTTCCATAAGTAGGTTGCTCTGGGCCTACCCCTGCTTCGCTTGCCTTCAATTTTGCCAGTGAGAGCTAGGTGTTCAAGACCCTTAAGTCTATTCAGGTGTCCCAAAAATTATTAGGTTCGTAATAATTTTACAATAATTTTGCCTGACCACAGACTGTCTTGGACTCTCTGATTGGACTATGGACTAGAGTGAAATAGAATTCCTATGTTACAAGTCACATGTAGTCCCTATAGTTATAAGTAGTCGTAAAAGGGCATAACTTTTTTCTTGTCGGGGGAGGGGGGGTACACCCTCACCCCATTCACACTCTCCCCCCGTCCCACCAATACTTTTCAAAGGGTAAATTGGATCATTCGCACTTCCTTAAGGAAGAAAAATATTTTTTACACATTCCCGACATAATTTTGTGTTCTAATTCATCACTTCCGGCGGACATGGCGCTGTGGACGATACTGGAAACATTGACAGTCGATTTGTGTAGGTAAGCGAAGCTTATTTTCTGCTACTTCTTTAACATTTAAATCGTATAAAACTATCATTCATCAGCTGACACAAATTCAGACGCTTCTGTGTTCACGGTAGAGGTTGGAAGTTACAGTTCAAACACATTTGGTATACAAGTATAGATCTAGTCTAGAATGAGCTTCACAAATTGCGTTAGAACTTTTTTGTTGTTGACAATTTTAATCATTGAAGGCGAGGCGACAGTATGCTATTGAATAATGGGTATTTTTATAGAAGCACTCCGGTTTCGCGTCACATCCACTACCGGAAGTCAGCTCCTTCACCACTTTAGTACCGTCGGATATACGAATAAGGTCAGGTTTTTTTTAGTTAAGTAGTTTTAGGATTTTTTTTTCGGATAATGCACGCTTTTGTAGTCATTAGGGGGGTTTCAGGGGGTTTCCCCCTGACGTGCGAGTACGTTATACAGTAGTTGTGTAGCAGGGCGGGTTCAGGGGGGGGGGTGAAATAATGTGCCGTAACATCTAAACTAACCATTTGGGACATTTTTCAATGCCAAAATCGTGTTCAGGGCCCTAAAAAACCATAAAATGCTACAAAATAATATCCTTTATGAGACGGGAGGGTTTCTATAAATTTACCGAATAATGGGCTAAAATACATTCCCCTCCCCTCCTGCTCTCTCTCTCTCTCCCTTTCTCTTTGTCTCTCCCTCTCTCTATCTCTCTGTGTCTCACTCCCTCTCTCTCTGTGTGTCTCTCCCCCCTCTCCCTTTTTCTCTCTGCCTATCCCCCTCTCTCTCTCTCTCTCTCTCTCTCTCTCGCTTTTTCTGTCTATCTCTCTCTCTCTCTCTCTCTCTCTCTCTCCTTCTCTCTCCTTCTCTCTCGATTTTTCTGTCTAGCTCTATCTCGCTTTCTTCACCCCTTCTGTCTACCACCTCTACATCTGTTGCCAGTTCTCCCACCATCAACATTCTTTCCCCTATCCTTATTGTGTCGAACGTTTCAATCTTTAAAGTTCTCCCTTCTCCCTCCTCGTGCTAGTTTCTTTTTAGGGCAAGCCCTCAGGCCCCAGAATAACCTTACAGAACTGATGTACTAACAATGTGTGAAAGCAAATTTACTTGTTGATATTGATTACATGAGATTTCATTTATTTCTTCTCACTCAAAAAAAAAAAAAGAAGTTCACCAAGTTACTTTCACTGAACTGAACACAGAGGAATGCTAGGCAAATGTTTGAGAAAAATTAATACAATCCCTTCCGCTGAAGACACTGACAAAAGATCATTTCAAGTAAAGGACTGTCTCTTTCATCATGATGACCTCACTGATTTCACAGTGTTCGAGGTAAGCCCGTTGTTTAGAAACATTGCATGCTTTGCACACCCCGATGTAAATTCCTGTTGGGGGCTGGGATCTCGTGGTCTAGTCTTTGCATTTCATTCAATAAGTTACGAGATCGAAACCTGACAGCGACGGAAAATTTTCTTTCCTAAAATGTTCTTCTTTCACCTCTTTTCCTGCTATTTAATCATGTTCTGTCACCTGCTTTCATCGCCAACTTATTCATCCCCCCC